AAAAGAGCTCTTATTATATTGTATTTGAATTGATAGTGAAATTCAAAGGCAGCTAATGATATGAATTTGTATTTTTATGCTTTAATTTTATTTTTAAATAAATTATCTTTTCTATTAAAATTGTTTTTCAATTTAATTATTCGTTAAATTATAAAAGAAGAAAGTTTTTAAACATTGAAGCTTTAGTTAGAAAACGTGGTAATCGTCTATATATTAATACTTACGTCATTCTCGAGTTAATTCTCACTCATCACTACTTTTGGCAATAATTGATTTGGATTTAAGCCAATAACAGACAATACATTTAATTATATGGTAATTATTAAGAATTACTCATTGTGTTATAAATACAGATAATTATACTGTTTATTGATTTTATGCACAATTCATGGAAATTAATAAGAAAACACATATTGTCTGAAACTTACTGTATATTCAATAACTTGGTAAATTGAAAAAAGTTTCAAGTTTTATAAGAAAAGTTTTATAAATCAGTTTGTATTGAATCGTATGAGAATTTACTCCCATTAATATAAAATGGATTTTATTTATCATTTATCTCATGATTACTGTTTGATTACAGTATATTCAGTATTTGTATTGTATTGGTTAATGTGACCAATAAGTGGTATACAAATTAGTTGACTTAAGTATCTGCATTGGATAATGCTTTCAACTTGTTTCACCACAAGTTTCTCAAAATCGTATATAATGTGTATATTATTTAAATAGTATTTTAAAGTACAGAATCACCAAATGATTAGATTATAACATTTATAGCACTAGAATCATACAATTCGTGTACTGTATGTGACTGTGTATCGGGTCTTAAAGTGATGATCATTGGATCTGTTATCATATAATGCATGTGTTTTACAAGTTTAATGGCCTAATGGGTAGTATTGTATTGAAGGCATCCCTCAATGGTATGACTTGTGGTCACATCCCTATCAAGTGATGTCAAACACATGCCATTAAACACACAATTGTATGGCAGGTGTGTCCGCATGTGTTGCCAATCATTAACACTAATGTAACAAAACTATGAATTAAATGTTAAACAATCCCAAAGTTTTGCAATAAAGTTACGTAACGTTGTCTACGAATGGGGCGAATGGTATGACTGGATGTGTGAGTGAATGACTGTTTGAATGTTTGAGTCAATGAATTGTATGACGTATTGAGTGATACCTGACATGAGATTTGTTGCCAAACATAGGCTTTGAATGCCATAAATGAGTCCACAAAACAAATGCTTGAAAATGTATCCATAATTGATGTGATTATCGATACGATTAGCGATACAATCGATATGTGTTTATGCGATACAAACACAACACAAGACACTCGTATTGACTCAAACACTCAAACGTATTGATGTATTCAATGACTGAATGCATTCAATGAGTGTTTAATTGTAATTACAATACAATCACTCATTCATTACAAACCACTGATTAGTATTGAAATCTTGTTATCATTTTCTACACACAAACTGTTTGTTTTGTTCATCAAAATTATGTTTGTTTTCATTACTCACTCACTGTTGGGATGTGTTTGTCGTGAAGAGTCTTCACAGCGAATATAACGCTATGTTTTAGTTTTAATTTAGTTTTAATTTATATCACAAACACATCAATGAAATCGTCCGACAAATGCATTGTTTGAATGTCTACTCAATTACTGTCTTCTGAATGGCATTCATAACAATCCAAAGAAATCAATCGTTTGTTGAATCCATTCACCAAAACATGAAGATTAAGGTATTTTTCAATGTCTTTAATGTCTCACATTTATTGAGCCATAAATTATATGATAATCTCTTTTGTGATTATGTCTTAAAGTGTGATTCAAATCAACAAATTAAGTACTCATTAGTCGTCGACTCCAATCCACAGACTATGGATTCGCACAAAAGGTATGTTTAGTGTTATAACAAATGGGATCAGTTGTAGTGATGATCTGACTCTATCTAATTGTGTCCAAAACAGTGGTAACGAGTGTTACTTCGCTGTGAGAGGAGCGGCCATTATATTACCGCATGAGGAATGTATTCATGTGTATAAGAGTCTGTCGAAGAACTCGTCGACAGTCGACATTCAGAAGCACTTGCAGTCGATGTTTGTTTTGCTCAGACCTGAGGACACACTCAAAATGGTATACAAACATTGATAGGGTTTTTAGCGTGTATTTGGACACCAAATGTAATCAATTGACAATTGTATTGTGTCTCAGGCCGTGAAACTGGAGAGCGTTCATCCAAACCGAACTCGTTATCTAATTATCGTTAGCTCTGTGTTTGAAACTCGTGAAGAGAGTTGTCTGTTGGGCATCGACTATAATATTGAGGCCTCCATTGGATTAGTACTTCCCGTTTGGGCCGACACTCGCATTACGCTCGATGGCGACGGGTATGTCTTCGGTTGGGTTTTGATGAATGTGTGAATTAAATGGTTGTTTTATTTGAACAGTGGTTTCAGTATAACATCGTATGAAAGACATCACATTTTTAAACCCGTGTCCG